ACAAGAACTGATTGTGTCAGAATAATAATCTTGTTTTCAGAATGTGTAAGATTATTTGTCTTGTTAGTCTGAAAATTTGACTCAAATTAGGTCAAAAATTTTCTACCAAAGGAGTAAGAATTTTTTTACTTGGTAAGATTCTTGAAATAAGAAAAACTTGCGTTAAATCAAGTATTTCAAGAATCTTACCAAGTAAACTTTTCTTACTCCATTGGCAGACATTTTTGACTTAATTTGAGTCAAATTTTCAGACTAACAAGACAAATAATCTTACACATTCTGAAAACAAGATTATTATTCTGACACAATCAGTTCTTGTTTAGTAAATCTGTCTCAAACCAAGATCAAAACACTTTTTGGCTGATATAAGATTTTAAAACTTGGTAAGATGGACAGTTTTTGCAGTGTATTTTCCCATTTGTAGTTCAGATTATGTAAACAGGCAAATAGATAATTATCTGCTGAATTTTAAATGGTTTTACACAAATTATCTGTAACCATATCACTGACGATGAAGAATCAGTCTCTTGAATAAATCAGCTGCAGGAGTCAGACAAAACAAATAAAAAATTGTTTGAATGTTTCATAAAAAACTATTGGAGCCAAAATTCAGGCACAAACAGCAAAATGAATATGTGCTTATATACTCAGCTCTCTAAAAATGTGTTCTAACCATGTGTCCTCACTTATTTTTATGATGACTAACATCCTTTATTGTTTATAACTGTCAGGAAATTCAAGAAACTGGAAGCCGGAGAGGACCCAGCGCACGTCTAATAGTGAGAGCGAGGAATGGTTCACAGGTGGCTGCAGGTTTTATACACGAATCATTTTGTCCAAATGTGATCAAACCTGTGCTGCGGTACGCTCAGAATAAAGTTCTGAAGGATAGCTGTTTGAAAACTGTTCTGTATGTTGGTAGATTCACCATTAAACAGAGTTATGAGTTTTAAAAATTGTTCAAATTTTTGTCTATTAATGGTGAAAGGGCGGGGCCGCTGCCCACAGAACCCTGGGGGCCGGTGTCACAATCGACTCGGACCCTCTAATCCACAGTCAGCTGGCTATCCAGGTCCCTCTCATCCTGCCGGGTCAACCAATCGTCAACAGCACGGTGAGTATTCTGGCTTCTCGTTGGTTTATTGGAGAAATCCTGAGGCCTGATTTTAGTTTCGTATCTGTAGGAGGGAGGAACGTCCCTGTTGGGTTGCTGCCAGCTCAGCAAACCCTTCCCAGCAGCGGTGCATCAGCTTTGGGCAGCAGAGCGCCTGTGGGCCCCTCCACACCTGAATCCACTGGTGGTAACCTGAATGTCCACCTGATGATGCTCCCTGCGGGGGTCGGTCCATCAGGGCCAAGTCGAGGTGAGGAGACCAACCTGAAGCTCCAGACTTTGAGTACAAACATCTGATGACTCAGGCCAGTAAAAACTCTTTTTTTTTACAGGTGTTGAAGGTCCAGCAGGCTCCAGACCCAACACCTTGCTGAATGTAGCACCGCCTGTGGTCCTCTCTGTTGTGGAGGAAGGAGTAGACTTGTCAGGTGCAGAAGGCGGCGTTGTTATTCAGTCTGTTTGATGGATTTGGACTCATTTGCCTTCATGTTTGTTCAGGTCTCCTCGCTGACGTGGACCTGTGCAGTGACTCTCCCATCAACGGACTGACGGCTCTCAGCAACGCAACTATTCTGATATTTAAAGGTTGGATTTATCGGATTTTTATGTTTTTTTCTTTTACATATGTTGTATAGTTTGGACTATCAAGGCCAAACTTTTTCTTCTTAAGCTTTACTAAATGCAGAGTAACTAAGGACAAAAGTAACTAAGTACAAATACTTTATTACTGTACTTAAGTAGAATTTTTGGGTATCTGTACTTTATTTGAGTAATTATTTTGCAGCCCACTTTTTACTTCTACTTCCCACATTTTCACACAACTATCTATACTTTCTATTCCATCCATCCATCCATCCATTTTCTTCCGCCTATCCGGGGTCGGGTCGCGGGGGCAGCAGCTTCAGAAGGGAGGCCCAGACCTCCCTYTCCCCAGCCACTTCTTCCAGCTCCTCCGGGGGAACTCCAAGGCGTTCCCAGGCCAGCCGAGAGACATAGTCCCTCCAGCGTGTCCTGGGTCTTCCTCGGGGCCTCCTCCCGGTGGGACGTGCCCGGAATACCTCACCAGGGAGGCGTCCAGGAGGCATCCTTACCAGATGCCCAAGCCACCTCAACTGGCTCCTCTCGACGTGGAGGAGCAGCGGCTCTACTCTGAGTCCCTCCCGGATGACCGAGCTTCTCACCCTATCTCTAAGGGAGAGTCCAGCCACCCTGCGGAGGAAACTCATTTCGGCCGCTTGTATCCGGGACCTCGTTCTTTCGGTCATGACCCAAAGCTCATGACCATAGATGAGGGTAGGAACGTAGATCGACCGGTAAATCGAGAGCTTCGCTTTCTGACTCAGCTCTCTCTTCACCACGACGGACCGGTACAGCGCCCGCTTTACAGCAGACGCTGCGCCAATCCGCCTGTCGATCTCCCGCTCCGTTCTTCCCCCATTCGTGAACAAGATCCCCAGATACTTAAACTCCTCCACTTGAGACAGGGCGACCCCCCTGACCCGGAGAAGGCACTCTGCCCTTTTCCGGCTCAAGACCATGGCCTCAGATTTGGAGGCACTGAGCCTCATCCCGGCCGCTTCGCACTCGGCCGCGAACYGCTCCAGCGAGAGCTGCAGATCTCGTTCCGATGAAGCCAACAGGACCACATCATCCGCAAAAAGCAGAGATGCGATCCTAAGGCCACCAAAACGGATCCCCTCAACACCTCGGCTGCGCCTAGAAATTCTGTCCATGAAAGTAATGAACAGAATCGGTGACAAAGGGCAGCCTTGGCGGAGTCCAACTCTCACCGGAAACGAGCCCGACTTACTGCCGGCAATGCGAACCAGACTCTGACACCGGTCGTACAAGGACCTGACAGCCCGTATCAAATGGCCCGGTACCCCATACTCCCGGAGAACCCCCCACAAGGCCCCCCTTGGGACACGGTCGAACGCCTTCTCCAAGTCCACAAAACACATGTAGACAGGTTGGGCGAACTCCCATGCACCCTCCAGGACCCTGCTGAGGGTGTAGAGCTGGTCCAGTGTTCCACGACCAGGACGAAAACCACACTTTCTATTCCTTACATTTTAAAAAAAGCAAGAAGTAAAAAGTTGTTACTTTTTTTCATTCCAGCTTGTTTTTGTAAAAAATAAATATTATCCATATAAATTGTGCCTCCTAGATAGAGTGAATTTAATTGTGGTTGAATGAGAAATATAAATATATAAAATTCTGAAACTGTATTAGTTTGTACACAAACAAATCATGTCACACTCCAGCAGGACATAATCATTAAAATAAAAGGGCTGTATTTAAGAAGTATTTGTATTTCATGAATTATATTATTACATTTGGCCACAGCCCTCAGATAGATTTTCATTTTGGTGAAAAGGTTTGGTCAGCCTTGATATATAAACTGAAACAGCTGGACTAGTGCATCCTAAATTTAACATAAATTAATTACAACATTGTTATTTCTGCATTGTTTTTGGGGAGGTCACCTCCTAATAAATGTCATTACAGAAAATCTAACTGTTCATTTTAAATCAATACTTTTAAGTACAAAAAATATCAGATACTTTAATACTTTTAGTCAAGTAATATTCCTAAAGGAGACTTTAACTTTTACCAGTCATTTTTGGTAAGATATTTGTACTTTTACTCAGGTATCACTGTGTGATACTTTATACAACACTGGCTAAATGCTGCAGAATCGTCACATAGTGTTAAAGGTCTGATGCCAGGTCAAGGGTCATTTACACAGGATTTCAACACATTTTGTCCATCATTAATAACCTTTAAGTGTGTGTTTGTGTGCAGGTGAGTTCTTCTGGTCAGTTGACCCCATCAGTCACTTGGTTGGTCCTGCACAGAACATCACAGAGACTCTTGGCGTCTCCTCACCCATCGATACCGTCTTCACACGATTCGGCTGCAACGGCTACACCTACATTATAAAGGTACAACCGTCTGTTTACAACCAGGACTCGTATCTCTTGATGGGACTTCTGCTCATTGTCATTCAGCCAACATTTGTTTCACAAAACTGATGAGAACATTACTACAAATGTCTGCCACTTTTGCACGTAGAGTGCATTGTTTGACGCCTTTTATCATAAAAAGAAAATAGAAATTAAATGTTTAGCTCAGTCTGAAAAGCTGCATATACATGAAAATGTTAAGTAAATTTTAAAGTTTGGACATATATGGTCAGAAATCTTAGTGCACTAAATGCGGTGTGTGAGCAAAGGTGCTGCAGCATATCAAGGCAATAATTTGATTGACTGAAACCTCAGTCTTTGCTGATCTCCTTTCAGGGGGATCAGTTGTGGCGTCTGGATGGGAACATGGTGATGGAGCCCGGATACCCCAAACCTCTGTCCTCGGAGTTTCCAGGTGTGACAGGAAGCATCAGCGCTGTGCTGGCGGTGCCGGCCACCAGGACCAGACCAGAGATGGTGTTCTTCTTTAAGCAAGGCGAGCGGGATGAGCACACAGCTGTCACAGTCCCAAACGTAGTTTCCTAAAACTGGTTGTCATCACTCCTCTGATAAAGTGGCATAAAGAACAGGCTGATGCTGTGAGTTTTAAGGTTTACTGACATGATTTTAGTAACTCCTCCTGTTTTCTCTCTAGGAGACATAATCCAGAGGTTCATCTTTCCAGCAGGCAGTTCTCCGTCCTGCACAGAGAGGCCAAGAAGCCCCCCGAAGAGACACTTAGCTGGCCAGGCTGGTTAGTGGTCAAAACTAATTCTCATAATGTTGAGGCATTCACTGGAAAAACTAATTATTTTTGTTGAGGTAAAAGGTAAAACGAACTCATAAATCATTTAAACTGATGTTTTATGGTTTTTAGTAGTAGTTAGTATGTTACCCATTTTAAGTTTTACTATTGCTGTAGAAAAATTTTATTAAAATTGTCAATTTTAGATAAACTGTCCAGTTCAGCTTTTTTAAAATTGTATTTATTTTTATTTTATTAACATTTATCATCCCTCGGTGGGGAAATAATCTGCATTTCCCCCCCATCACACATGGAGCAGAGGGCTGCCATTTAGGGAGCAGCTGGAGGGTTAAGGGGTTTGCTCAAGGGCTCAGAGTGGGGCGAATCAGAGTTTCACTCCCATCACTGATTGCAAAAGAAAGCAATAAGGATAATTCACGGGGCTACCAATTCATTATTCTTTTTGTCAAAACTACTCAAATTTACTGAACTTGTTGAGGTACAAACAACACTAATAACATTTAAAGCAAAAAAACAATTACCAGGCAATATTCAGACATTATTTGTTGAAGGGGAGGGGAGTCAGTTTAACTTTAAATCAAGGATTGTTCATACAACTCGCAAAGAGTTTTGTATTTCTGTTGGTGGAGTAAAACTGTGGAGCAGTCTGAGTGGCATGTCCAAATATTAAAAAAAAATTTAAGGAGAGATATAAAAATATTATTTTCAAAAGATATAGGGATGCTGAGTGTGTCTGATTTTTATTTTTATTTTTTGCGATATATGGGGATATTTGGGGCTGTGTATATATGTGCNTCAGCAGTGAATAAAATTCTTACTTTTACTTTCAGAAGTATTTCTGTATTATTTATTTTACAGCTACTCAGTCGGACACGTTTTTTTTTTTTCAATATTTGGAGATATTTGGGGCTGTGTATATATGTGCGTACGTGTGTGTATGTATACATTTGTGTGTGTATGCATATACACTGCATGTAGATGTACATTTACACTTATGAATATATTCTGGTATTATATACATTTGTAGGTAAACAGATTGTTGTTTTAGTCTTTATGAAATTGTGACAGAATAAGAAAAAAGAATTTACTATTTTTTAAATAAGCTTCATAGAATGGTGGGATTAAATAAGTTTTTTACTTCTTACCATTCCTTTTCAAATGTTAATTTTGTTATCACTTTTTATCATTTTTTTGTTTTGTATACATGTTTGAAATAAACTAACATTTTTGACCGTCATTCCAGGGAATTTAACCCTTTTTTGTTTTAAGTCATCTTTTAGATAAACCAGTCAAACGATTTCAGCAGGGCTTTAGTTTTTAACTGTATTCATTTTGTGTTTTTATCATCCATGCAGAAGTTCTTCTGAGCGGAGAGATCAACATCAGAGTTTCTCTTAAAGGCTTCCCCACCCCAATCACTTCTGCTCTGTCCCTGTCCAGCCCTCAGACCGTCCATCACTTCGTCTTCTCTGGACGTAAGTCCTGGTTTCAGACTGTAAACTACAAACCTTGTGCCACTTAGGGACATTTTTTTACCTGCAGTCCTCTGTTCCCCCTACAGCTCTTTTCTTTGGAGTCCAGATTTCAGGAGACCTGCCAGTCCTGGTCAAGCCTGAAGCCCTTACACCCCTCCCCGTCCTGAGACCTGTTGCTTTGGGGAGTAACTCAGAAGACGTGGGGGGACAGAGGCCCAACGCTGCCCACCCTCCTAACTCCATCAGATTCTGGCTGCGCTGTGCTTAGAAACACCCCCAACAGAACGACTGGAAATCAGTTGTTTTCTGCTTTAATAAATTCATTACAAATATTTACTTTGGAAACATGTTTGCTGTGCAGAAAAACAGCAACTTTATGTTACTCCTTAAACATTGAATTCTGATTTGTCTAGTTAAAGAATCTTTGTAAAATAAACTAAAACTCTTAAATGGACAGAATAAAAGTATCATAAAAGATATGAAGTCATTTCTTCAGGTAAATACTACATCTATGACTAATCTGAGAGTGTAACTGTTTTGTGTCAGGTGTGAACCTATAACAAAAAATGTCTTCCTAAAGCTTTTTACTATTACTACTAATAAAAGACATGACATTGCTGCTATTTGTCATTCTGCTTTATTTGTAAAAACCATCCTAACACAGAGCGAAACTAACAAAAACATCATGAACATTAAAACAATTATAAAAACTAAAACTCAGTTTCACAAACCGTCTGAGCTCACATGAGGAAAAAAAAGTGATCAGAACGTTCCTGTATTAGTGTGATTACTGATTTGAATTTAACTTGGAGTTTGTGATTGTTTTGTTTTTGCTCTTATTGATGAAATGATGTCTTTACGGGTGACATCATCGTTAGGCAAAGCCTCCTCTGCCCATGCCTCCTCTTCCTCCTCGAGGAAAGGTTCCTACAATAAAATGAGAAACGGGCAAACAATTTTATTCACGTTATTGGCTGCTTGCTGTGCTCTAATAAACTGCTTCATCAAGAGCTTCTGAGTGAACAGACTCTGGTCTCGACTCTTATTGTTGATCATGAAGACAAAAGTTGACTCTGTGAGGAAAGTCCAGTTTGGTTCTTACCTCTGCGGCTGAGCAGTCGGGCTCCTCTGGATCCTCTGCCTGACAGGCTGCTGATCAGAGGCTGACTGGTCACAGTGTGGCGCAGAATCACACTGCTGGTGTCTATTAAACACACAAACACACACACACAGTTTCAGCTGAAGGCTCAGCGGTGTACCACTGATGCAATCATTTCTTCCCCTCTATAATAAAGACACGTGTGCAGCAAAGGTTTATGCTCAGCTCATTAACTGTATAATCCGGACCAATAAAGCCAATAATGTTTGATATGTGTATAAAATGATTGTGCAGGATTTAAAAAGGAAGTCCTGTTTTCAAGACAAGGACAGTACCAGGGTCTTGGCTGGTGGATGGAAGCGCTGCATCATCGCTTTGCTGAACTGTTGACTCCATGTCTGCCTGACTCTCCAAAGAAGATTCAGTACCGGGGCTGGAAACAAACATGAACACATGAAAAGCTCAGACGTGCAGTTAGGAGGCACGTCAAGAACAAACTGAATGATTTATTTTCCCTTGGAAAAACAGATTAAAACAAAACAAAACAAAACAAAAAAAAAAAAACAACAACAAAGATTAGGAGCTAAAGACAAACAATCTGAGCTGAGACTTTCCTTTAAGTGATGTGTGTGATTCAGGAAGGCAGGATTCATGTTTTCTACATATCTGATATCTAAAAGGTAGCTGTTTTCATTGTCTCACAAAAGGAAAAAAAAAATCCTGCTTCATGCAAAGTTTGTGTCCTTTTTTCTTTATTTGCCTGGTTAAATTAAGGTAAATAAAATAAACATTAAATTAATTTTAAAGGGATCCCTGATTAGTTGTAACATTAGAC